AACTTAAGGTTGGGGTGGAAGGTGTTAGTGAAGTGTATGAACTGTTCGAGCTCCTCGTGGGAGCACGAGGCGGCGCCGATACAGTCATCAATGTAACGGAGGAAGAGGTGGGGTTTAGGGCCGGTGTAGGTACGGAAGAGGGATTCCTGTCCTCATAGCCCTGGACAGTGTATTTTTCTCTTCAGGTGCTTATTCAGTTTCCTTGTGAAAGCATCAATTGAATTCCCTTCACTACACCCTGGGGCCATGAACTTCAGATTGTCATTTCTCACTGCATAAAACAGCTTTTCCAAAGATTGCCAGTATTTCGTTTTGCCAATTGGCTTAAATTTATGTCATGTGATTCTCAACTTTTCCACCAATGGGAACAGATTTTCTCTATCTACTTAGTCTAGACTCATGATTTTGAACACCTTGTCTCACTCTCGTCATGTTGAGGTTGTACAGAGCGTTAGTGAGGCCTCTTCTGGAGTACTGTGTCCAGTTCTGGTCGCCCTGCTATAGGAAGGATATTATTAAATTGGAGAGGGTTCAGAAAATGTTTACCAGGATGTTGCCTGGAATGGAGTGTTTGAGTTATGAAAATAGACTGGATAGGCTGGAACTATTTTCACTGGAGTGCAGGAGATTGAGGGATGACCTTTTAGAGGTTGTTAAAATCATAAGGGCATGGATGAGGTGAATACCAAGAGTCTTTTCCCCAATGTGGGGGAAGTTCAAACCTATTTTTAAGTTGAGAGCAGAAAGCTTTGAAAGGGACATGACCTTTGCATACAGAGTGATTTATATGTGGAATGAACTCCCAGAGGAAGTGATGGATTCAGGTACAGATACAACATCTAAAAGATACTTGCTAAGGAAAGGTTTGGATGGATATGGGCCAAATGCAGGAAAATGGGACTAGTTTAGTTTGGGAACATGGTCGGCATGGATTAGTTGGACCGAAGGGTCTGTTTCCATTCTGTATGTGTCTATTATTCTATGAGTCATGACACTTAAGCAAAATACTGTAAGTGGTGTCGAACTGGCTTGGAAGAAAGGTCAAACTGGACTCAAAATGTTAACTCTGTTTCTCTCTTCACATTCGCTGCCAGGCTTGCTGTTAACTTCTCATCTCAATTCTTCACCTGTAAAGAAATCTGGATTAATATTGCCCTCCTCTGGATTGTCTGGGTTCATTGCTGTTTGTCGCTGGGCAGTTAATACCTGCTTATCAGTCACACATTGAATTTTATTATTTTCTAGTTACACATCAGTCAAGATGATGTGTAGGCAGTAATGGAAAAGCTGTCAGTTACGCCATTGACACTGTCAGCAAGTTCAGGAGCACGCACACGTGCAGAATAACAGATCAATCCAGAAGGTGCTGCTGGGGATTCTGCACTCGATAAAGTGTGCGTTGTTGATATCCCTCCACAGACCAACTCATTGAAGCTCTGTAAAATTGTTGAAAAGTTCAATTCTTAACTCTGAGTCTCTCTGAAAATCCTTGATAAAGCTACACTTTGGAAAACTGTTCCTTGACAGTGTGTGTCTGTCGCTATCTAGAGGATGGTGTTTATTACCCACCCCCTAACTGCCCCTTTAGAAGGTGCTGGTGACTCAACTGCAGGGTGTTCCAAGATTTTGACCCAGCGACAGTGAAGCAATGGGAATGTCAGAATGGTGTGTGGTCTGGGAGGGAGCTTGCACATGAATGGTCTTCTCTTGTTATTCTTCTCAATTAAATGTATCAGAGCTCCTCAACTCTATAAAATTGACAAGATAAATGATATTTCTGACTGGCCCGTTTCCTGACCTTAATAACATACATGGCTGGTAGCCATTCATAAGCCACATTGTAACACAAAATTCTAAGTAACCATGTATTCTCCTTGTTCCAAAGTGTGGATTTTAATCAATCCAAGAATAAGACCCCAAAGATTGTCATTGTTGGAGCCGGAATATCTGGAGTGGGAGCGGCTAGAAAGCTGCTAAAACAAGGATTGACTGATGTACAGATAATTGAGGCATCAAGCCAGCCTGGAGGACGGATCAGAGGTTCTCTGTTTGGTAAGAACAATGTGAACTAAATGTTATGGAAGTATAGAAAACAGACTGTGTGATGAACAGTAATTTGCAAAGAAAATTATTGGTGTTTGTGACTTAATCTGAATTTCTCAACAGAGACTTACAAAAGCAGAAGTATTTACTGATCCCAGTTCCCTCGTGTTGAAAGGCAGTGTTAATTCCGCAACGTCCCCATGCCCCCTCCCATTAATTTCACTGCCAATAAAAGAGGGTAGAATTTCATCCAGGTCGGGATCTTGCTTACTGTTAAGGAGCTCTACTGCCTCACAGCACCGGGGACACAGGTTCGATTCCATCCTTCGACAACTGTCTGTGTGGAGTTTGCTCATTCTCCCCCTGTCTGCTTGGCTTTCCTCTGGGTGCACGGGTTTCCTCCAACAGTCCAAAGATGTGCAGGTTAGGTGGATTGGCCATGGGAAACATAGGTTACAGGGATGGGGTGGGTCTGGGTGAGATGCTCTTTGGAGGATCAGTATGGACTTGATGGGCTGAATGGCCTGCTTCCACACTGCAGTGATTCCATGGTTCTATAGTGAGAGCAGGCATTGACTCCTTTGTGGAATTTCCACCGTGTTAAATGCCATTCAGGCATTTAAATGTTCAGCAGTGGGTCTTCACTGAGGTCAAGGACCCCAAGGATGAAAATCTCACCTGCCGTAAGAGCTGCCAGTCAATGAGAGAGTAACGGTTCCTCATTCAGGCAGTGCCACGAAAGGGATTGGGGGGAGCTGGCAATGCACTGACCACAGGCTCAGGACCAGCGAGTGACCCAGGGCGTAGGTGAGAATGATTTTGAGGAGGGGAGTCATGGTGGTGGCTGTCAGTGTGCCCATCTGATGCCAGGTTCCTCAAGCAAACAATGAGTACACACCAAGCTAAATCCTCACCTGTTGCGGCTGAATGAGAGTGGCTGGATGAGGCCTTAATGAGGACAATAACTGCCCTCTTAAGGATTGGCAGCAAGGCATATTGGCTATCCATTAGCCTTCATGCCCTGGACTTAATCAGGGTTTGGTCCGCAACCAAATTCCAATCTTCCAGAGATAGTAGGAACTGCAGATGCTGGAGAATCTGAGATAACAAGGTGTAGAGCTGGATGAACACAGCAGGCCAAGCAGCATCATAGGAGCAGGAAAGCTGACGTTTCGGGCCTAGACCCGTCTTCAGAAATGGGGGAGGGGAAGGGGGTTCTGAAAGAAATAGGGAGAGAGGGGGAGGAGGATAGAAGATGGATATAGGAGAAGATAGGTGGAGAGGAAACAGACAGGTCAAAGAGGCGGGGATGGAGCCAGTAAAGGTGAGTGTAGGTGGGGAGTTAGGGAGGAGATAGGTCAGTCCAGGGAGGATGGACAGGTCAAGGGGGCGGGATGAGGTTAATAGGTAGGAGATGGGGGTGGGGCTTGAGGTGGGAGGAGGGGATAGGTGGGAGGAAGGACAGGTTAGGGAGGTGGGGACAAGCTGGGCTGGTTTTGGGATGCGGTAGGGGGAGGGGAGATTTTGAAGCTTGTGAAATCCACATTGATACCATTGGGCTGCAGGTTTCCCAAGCAGAATATGAGTTGCTGTTCCTGCAACCTTCGGGTAACATCGTTGTGGCACTGCAGGAGGCCCAGGATGGACATGTCGTCTGAGGAATGGGAGGGGTAGTTGAAATGGTTCGCGACTGGGAGGTGCAGTTGTTTAGTGCGAACCAAGCGTAGGTGTTCTGCAAAGCGGTCCCCAAGCCTCCGCTTGGTTTCCCCGATGTAGAGGAGGCCACAACGGGAACAGTGGATGCAGTATACCACATTAGCAGATGTGCAGGCGAACATCTGCTTTATGTCGGAAAGTCTTCTTGGGGCCTGGGATGGGGGTGAGGGGGGAGGTGTAGGGGCAGGTGTAGCACTTCCTGCAGTTTCAGGGAAAAGTGCCGGGTGTGGTGGGGCTGGAGGGGAGTGTGGAACAGACAAGGGAGTCACGGAGAGAGTAGTCCCTCCGGAAAGCAGATAAGGGTGGGGAGGGAAAAATGTCTTTGGTGGTGGGGTCGGATTGCAGATGGCGGAAGTCTCGGAGGATGACGCGTTGGATCCGGAGGTTGGTGGGGTGGTACGTGAGGACGAGGGGGATTCTGTTTTGGTTGTTATTGCGGGGAGGGGGTGTGAGGGATGAGTTGCGGGAAATGCGGGAGACACTGTCGAAGGCGTTCTCGACCACTGAGGGGGGGATATTGCGGTCCTTGAAAAATGAGGACATCTGAGATGTAAGGGAGTCGAATGCCTCGTCCTGGGAGCAGATGCAGTGGGGACGAAGGAATTGGGAATAGGGGATGGCATTTTTGCAGGAAGGTGGGTGGGAGGAGGTGTATTCTAGGTATCTGCGGGAGTCGGTGGGCTTGAAATGGATATCGGTTTCTAGGTGGTTGCCCGAGAGAAACAGAGAGGTCCAGGAAGGAGAGAGAGATATTAGAGATGGTCCAGGTGAACTTAAGGTTGGGGTGGAAGGTGTTGGTGAAGTGGATGAACTGTTTGAGCTCCTCCCACCCATCTTACCGCATCCCAAAACCAGTCCAGCTCATCCCCGCCTCCCTAACCTGTCCTTCCTCCCACCTATCCCCTCCTCCCACCTCAAGTCCCAACCCCATCTCCTACCTACTAACCTCATCCCACCCCCTTGACCTGTCCGTCCTCCCTGGACTGACATATCTCCTCCCTAACTCCCCACCTACACTCACCTTTACTGGCTCCATCCCCACCTCTTTGACCTGTCTGTTTCCTCTCCATCTATCTTCTCCTCTATCCATCTTCTATCCGCCTCCCCTTCTCTCCCTATTTATTTCAGAACCCCCTTCCCCTCCCCCATTTCTGAAGAAGGGTCTAGGCCCGAAACGTCAGCCTTCCTGCTCCTCTGATGCTGCTTGGCCTGCTGTGTTCATCCAGCTCTACACCTTGTTATCTCCAATCTTCCAGCTCCCCTTTGTACAAGGCATTGAATTTTACCCATGGAGAAAAGATCCCAATATATATTTTAGTGCAGTTTTACTTTAGTTTAGAACTCTGGTGCTGGGAGAACATACTGCATAAAGAGGCTCGGTCCTAAGTACAAACAGTTTGGTGAATAATTTATATGTAATGTAGCAATCAGCAAGTTCTGTTCTGTTCAACAAAAACATATAAAAGTATAAATGAATAAAATATGTGTTTATGCAGCTCGAAGCACTTTTCTGTTTTAAGAAAATAAAGTAAGAAGCTCCATTGCAGTGAAGTGTGATGAATAAATTAGCCTAATTAGAGCCACTTTGTGGATCACTTTGTACCCACTCCACACTCATCTGGGAATTTAACACCTCGACTGAGGAAATGACTTGAGACTCAAATGGAAGTGGAAATAATTCCTGTCTGTGCTAGATGCACACAATTCCTGAGACAGGGAATAAGTCCTAAGATTGGAAAGCCAAGAGGGAACGCAAGTTTCCAGATCCACGAGAATTCTTCCTGAGGACGTGGACATCACTGGCAAGGCATCATTGCTTCTCCTCCTGAATTGCGCTTGAGAAGATACCGTTGAGAATTTCTCATGACTTACTGCAATCCATGTGCTGGAGATACTCCCACAGTGCTACTAGGTAGGGATTTCGAGATTCTGCCTTTGAAATACTGAAGAATTGGTGAGCCAGGATGGAGTGTGACTTTAAGGTGGATTGTCTTCCCATGATCCTAATGTCCCTTTAGATAGAAGACATGAGTTTTGAAGGCACTGTCAAAAAAGCATTGAAGCTGGGGGACACAATTGCTCAGTGGTTGGCACTGCTGCCTCTCAGCACCAGGGATCAGGGTTTCATTCCAGCTTTGGGTGACTTTCTGTGTGGCGTTTGCAAATTCTCCCTGTGTCTGCACGGGCTTCCTCTGGGTGCTCCAGTTTCTCCAACAATGTGCAGGTTAGGTGGATTGGCCATGCTAAATTGTCTGTTGTGTCAAGGTACGTGATGGCTGGGGGACTAGCCATGGTAAATGTGGGCTTATGGGGATAGGGTGGGATTTTCTTCAGTGCGGACGCGATGGGCCAAATGGCCTTTTTCGGCACTGTAGGGATTCTATGATTCTAAGTCCAGCTTGTGCACTATAGTCATAGAATTAAGATAGTGGATAGCCTACTGATCAAGTGCAGTATATCATCCTGAATAATGTTGAGCTTTGAGTGTCGTCTTAGCTTTATCCATCTGGACAAATGAAGAATATTTGGTCACTCACCTGACTTGTCTTTGTGTGTGGCAGAGATGTTTCAGGGAGTTAGAAGGGAACCCATTTTACTGCAGAATACACTGCCTGCAACTGCTGTTATTACAATTGCACTTTTGTGGTTGGGCTGGTTCAATTTCTGACCAGAGTGCCTAGGATGTTGTTGCTGATATTAATGCAATTAGATGTCATTGGCAGGTGGTTAGAGTTCTCCTATGCAGGATGGTATAGAATTTTTAGCACAAGAACAGGCCACTTGGCCTACTCGACCTATGATCCACATAAGCAGATGGAAGTATGCTACTGTTTGTAACTGAATGGCTTAATATTATCCCAAACACTGAGGTTCCTGTAAATGTACTCTATGCATGTGGAACTGTATTGTATGTTGAATCTTTCAATTTAATTCATCCCACCCTATCAACATTTACTTCCATTTCTTACTTTTTATCATGCACTTGTTTGCTTCTCTTCTTGTTAGAAATGTTCATTATCTGGCACTTGTACAAAGCAGTTGCTTCTTGTCACTTATCTACTGTGCTCAAGCGCAAATGTTCCCCAGGTCTTGCTGAATTTTCTCTGAGTGCTTTAGGTACTAACAAGCCTCTGAGGTGGCCAGGATTTGGTCTCAAACTTAGCTTACTCTGTGGTTACCACAAAGTATGCCTTGATAAATGGGTTATACTAGAAAAGGCTCATTGAGGAAACTGTATGGCATGTTGATGGATGGAGCTTGACTCAATCCTCTCTTCTAACAGAAGCCAGCTA